ATTATACTCGATATACTAACCAAACCATTTTGCAGACATTGACGAATGTAACCTTCTCCATCCGCCATGTCAAAAATACTTATGCCAAAATACGATTGGTGGTTACAAATGCGATGGCGTCAGTGGTGACCCTGCCAGCTTACCTATTAATCGGCAAGGGAACGATGAGCGGTGTCCACCAGGGTTCCGCCTTAATGTCATTGGAGAGTGTGAAGGTATGAATCGGCTAGGCTTTCTATTACAGTCCAATACCATTTAAGTCATTAAAGCTTATTTTTTATTTCAATCGCAAAGATCACTGCTATTGCACCAGCTACACTGGGAAGACATTTCAGTGGTGGGATGTTCCATCTATTTTTAACCGACTTCAAAAAAAAGGAGGTTTTTAATTCGACTGTACTTTTTGTGTGTATCGATCACTCTTCACTTATTGTGAACTGATTTTGATGATTCACTTTTTGTTGGAAAGAGGATACCTCAGTATTGGTCTTATTCAAATTTGAATAAATTTGAAATATTCAACAGTCATGGAACAAAAGTTCTTGTTTATATGATGTTACATGATAAGTACCTACCACTGTGTGCGCCGACGTCGGCGCTAGCGCTCTTACAAGTTTTTCATTTATGAGCATTTGGCTCCGCTTGACAGTACATGGCGGGCAACGTTATGTTCACTTCTCTGAGCGCGTGCTTAGGTTTATTTTTCCTCGTATTATTTTTGATTTTGTATGTGTGGTGTTTCTGTTACATAGTAACTATCAAGTAATCTGTGCTCCAGTGCAACGGATTAAGATACGTCAATGTGTAGCTTGATGTGCTGCTGTCTGTACATGTTTAATTAAATGTGTAATTATGTGAAGTGATTGACACCCAAATAATACTATTTCTATGATCACGTGAACGCCCAGTGTTACATTATAATGAAAATATAGCGTTAGAAAGTAGCGCTATACATTCTGTATGACTTTAAAGTTATCTAGAAAAACACGTTTTTCATACGCAAGTACGAGCCTACTTGCTTGAGTCTAAAGTATGTGCATTGAGCGTTTAGCGCTTTTTTCATTGTAGTTTGCTGGGTCTCCATTATCGACCTCATTGTCACTTTCTATCTGGGAAGACTGAGATCGAACGCTCATATTCCTACAATAATAAAGAAAAAAATAAATCTGTATCTATTTCGACTTTCAGACGTCGACGAATGTGCTCTTCGTAAAGATGACTGCAATCCGCTTTCCCAGTTCTGTATCAACACGCACGGCTCCTACCACTGTCAGAATCATGTATCTAAGCACTGCCCGCCAGGATTCCAGATTGACCCTGTGACAAACAAATGTGAAGGTAATATTTTTTTTTTATTTAGATACCTACATCATCGGCACGTACATAGCGGAACTTAAAACCATCAAAACGTAATTTGGTAACTCATAATTATCATCGTACCGTGGTAATAAACGCTAAATGCCAGGAACTCGGGTACCTGATTACAGTGCAGCGACAGCGTTCGCAAGATGGGTACAGGGGGCATATCATAACCTTTCCAAAAACAATCTTATTTCAATGTAAGCATAAAGTAAGCTTATTGTAATATTACTTATTTTCATACCATGACAAACCTATCAACCAAGTAATGTATTATTGCTAAAGTGACTGAAAGAACGAATGATTTCCCTATATTGTCTATTCCTTACTAAAAGTAGGAAAGAAATAACGCTATATAAACTGTATAATGCCATCTCTTTCTTTTTTGATGTTCCGAATAGTGTTATCGTAGTATAACGTTAAAGTACTTAATATTATTTACATTCAGAGAATTTTAACTACCAAAAAAAGAAAAGTACATATTAATGAAATCTATTAAAATTACGTTGTTTTCAATTATTATTCCGCATTTTTATGAAGAAAATTAAATAAAACAAGCTGAGTCTTGATAGTCACGTTGTGAATTCGGAACCATAGTCTAGTGTCAACTGTTAGTTTCGCTAAGGAGCATATAGATGGCGCTGTCATAATTTTACGAAATAAACATCGCGTATTTTTATTTAACGAGAATTTATTTCTTTTGTGCCATTAAATATAAAATACTTGAACAAAATATTAAAGAGATATGTGTAAATAAATAAGATCAACTTAACTTTTAATCATTACAAATCAATATTTAGACAATAAAACTGACAATAATATTGTTTCCATTGCATCCGTGTAACTATTTTAAGATTGCTAAATTTGACATAAGAGGAATATTACTTTAATGTCAAAGTCGCGTCATGGTACGAACTGAGTGAATGAATAGTCACAAAGCTGCCAATAAAACATCATAGTTTTAACATTACAATAAGCTTACTTTAAGTGCGTTATGGTACGAAAAGTCAATGTAAGGTTAAAGTAATATTGTTTTAAGAGGTTGTGGTAGGCCACCAGGTATCACCTTTGGGATGCGACGAGCGAGTGAGGTGTGTCTCCACAGTATAGCATTTTGTTCCTTCCTGGACAGTGTTAATATTAATAATAATAAGACGCACACACTCATAGTCCTGCACTAGAGAAACCTTATATCGCGGATGTCATGGACACACGTAGACAACCACAAATTATACCCAAATTCACGAGAAAAATAAATTTAATGTATACAAATGCTGCCGTCTAATAACTAAAACACGGGTAAGTGACAAATGGTCAAATATCCATTTTAAATAGAAAAAGATAGAGCACAAAATTCTCCTTTAAAAACATTAAAATTAGTATATAGGAATAAGTCGAACACTTTAACTAATTTTAATTAAACTTACCCTGATGATGCATAGCTGAAATATCATTAAACAAATTCAACATTTTAAATTTTTATTGAATTGATATTCAATTATTTTTTGTCGAATTATTCCACTAGTCTGTTATAATTATTAATACAAGGTCGAACACTCAGAAAAAATTCCTTCGATCCGACCCGATTCGAACCGACGTCTTCTAGCTTACCGTGCCAGACGCTATACCAACTAAGCCACGGAACGAACCAGCGGACCTCACGAATTTCTCTAAGTGCTTGCGTCGTATCTTTGTGTTTGGTTTTTTCAACGACTTTTTAGTCGTAGCGCCATTTATGAGAAATCTATGAAAGTTTTATCACCCAGTTAGATATCTTTACAGTTACCAGCCCTGGCGAGAGATGTCGCTATTCACTGTATTTTAAATTTTTGATATATTCAATTATTTATTGTGGTTCGTTCCGTGGCTTAGTTGGTATAGCGTCTGACACGGTAAGCTAGAAAACGTCGGTTCGAATCCGGCCGGATCGAAGGAATTTTTTCTGAGTGTTCGATCTTTGTATTAATAATTATAACAAATCAATATTCTAAAACGGGTTTATGGTTTTTTATGACATCTAAAAAAATATTTTGTCACTTAACCGGGTTTTTGTCAGCACGGCAGAATATGTGTCTCTCCAGCATGGTAACCGTTCGACCAAGATGAGTGAGTGATTGTTGCTGTTTTAGCGACTTAGTCGCTAGATTCAGTAACTTTCTCGAATGTTTAGCAAGATAAAATTTGGTTTTAGCGAGAAATAAATTTAAAGACAAAGCTTTTCTTGCCCCGCAGGCTATTTCCAAAATAAACATGTGGCCTATTAATTAAGCAATAGTTATATTCGTATATCCGATTTTCAAGCCTAACGCTGGTAACACTACATAGAATCAGACTGGAAAAAATGGTGTTTAATTGCTCGTCTCTCGTGTCTCTAAAAATGAATATTCATTTTAGAATATTAATGTTGTTGATTGTTTTTATTATAATTCGAAATCTCATTGAGGCTGTGAATTCTATAAATAATAAAAATATTCTATAAAATACTGATTATATTTATTTTGTTTAGTTTTCTGACACTTTTAAAGAATTATTGAGGTGACAATAGAAAAATATCCGAAAAATCGAATAACCTTACTGCAGAAAAAAAAAAACTGTTTTCAAAATCACTCGGCTTTTACGTGCCCTTACTCCGTTGGCAGTAGCCACATTGAGGCCATAGACGCTGGTTTGAATCCAGTCGTATTGATTGATTTTTTTCGTTGTTTGTTCCATTTTTGAATCAGTAATGACCAATGGTCGGAAAAAGGTGTCCCACATTATATAGCTGCATGAAAATGAAAAATAGTTTATATTATATAACAAACTACAAAATTCTTGTTATATATCGACTCATCCGTAGAACAAAGTCCTATGTGCAGGACTGCTTTTTCTCAGGACACTACACTTCGTTCGTTGTTCTTCGCTATGGATATCAGATCGATCGTTGTTCGACTTTTTATTTCCAAAACGAAATAAGATACAAAATTTCTTATAAACGCCTATAGCTAGGCCTTGGTTGGAATAAAGATATTATGTATTTATGTCTTTTCGTTGTCTAATCACGTAGGACGAGTCGATATTCTTCGGATGAGTCGATATATTAATAAGTACTAGTTGTATTAGCTAATTATACAAGTTTAGAGATAGCTACAAGGAGCGATATAGAGTTATTAAAACTACTAAATATTAATTAATTACTTTTTCGAATTCTGAAATCGTTTTACTGTATCGTAGGACAAACTACTGACCTAGGAAGTCGAAATTGGATTTGAAAGTAATTCTAATAGTGCCTTGTAAAAAAATGCAGAAGATAACTGACAGCCTTGTTGCCGTTCCGTCAATGTGACCGTCAATATGCGGGGCTCGGTGCGGTATTTAAAGCTAGGAAGGGGCGGAGAGTGACCATTCTCGCTACTTTTTTATTCTCTGCTTTAGTAACAGGTCAGTTTATCTACTGCATTTTTTTACATAGCACTATTAGAATTACTTAAAAATCTAAGTTCGACTTCCTAGGTCAGTAGTTTTTGTCCTACGACGCAGTAAAATCATTTCTGGAAATCTGGAATTCGAAACAGTAATTGATTAATATTTGGTGGTTTTGACAACTCTATGTTGCTCCTTGCAGCTATATCTATACATGTATCTGTATATCTGGAACACCTTTTTCCGACCGTTGGTAATGAATGAGATACTTTTTCTTGATACACAGATATCAACGAATGCGATGACGGTGAAGACATCTGCAGACAGGATCAAATATGCGTTAACGTGCCTGGACAATACGACTGCAAACCAAGAACCGACAGGTAAGTAACATAATATAAATTACACACCTGCGAAGTTACAGTGTGACCAAACTGTCTGTAATATTTTGATCCAAATGCTCTTTGCAGACGCAACACCAAATGTCCTGATGGTATGCGAATGAAACCAGGAACCGATGTTTGCGAAGGTAAGGAATTAGAAATCTCAATATTGGCCTTTGGAACTCAGAATCTCGGGCCAATCATCGGAGCGGGACAGTGACATTCCGGTTTCTCTCCTGCTTAGCGACGTACGTATGTGACGCGTGCGCAGGCCCGTCATCGATAAAAGCAAATCGGTGCGGTACCCTTTGAGTAATTTGTTCCCTGCTTTTGTATAAACGTAGCAACTTTTTTTATTTTAATATCATTCACTGCTTGAACGTTGACCCTGTCACAGTGGATAGTTTTCATAAAAATTCATATTTCACCTGTAGGAACTAATATTACGGTTCAATGACGTGCTGTTGTCAATTTTAACCAACTTCATAAAAGGAGGTTTTTTTGTGTGTATGTTACGAGATTACTCTGGATATGGGAAGCGATTTTGATGATTTTTTTTAATGGAAAGAGGGTACGTCAGTATTGGTTCCATTTAAATTTGAAAAAAATTATTCACCTCTAAGGCTCAATTCACACTGGCGCAGAGTCGAAGCGTCTCGTCCTGTTTTTCAACTACAACGCCTGGCGACACGCGTCGACGCTTGACTCCATATTTGCATAATCCAAATTTGTACCTTAATAATGGGAAAATGGAGATGAATATCCGCTCACGCGATGCGCTCCTCCTACCGCAAAATGGCGGCTATTTGGTTTCGCAAATTAGAAAAGGATTCAGTTTAAATACAAGTTTTTATAAATAAAAATTATTATTCTGCATTGCTAAATGAATACCCTCCGTACTACCAACAATAACATCTCAAATAAAATGCAGTAATACACCGCAAATCCTGCACTTAAAAAGCACTAATGAAATTTTTGGTGTACTTGAATAAATATGATAATATTCCGTTTGAGTGGTTCTAACGTTTACCATGAAATTACTCCTTAAAGTATAGTTTATAAACATTTATATTCAAGGTAAACTTAAAAAACGCTACTTACTGTATGTTTTCAATAAATAAACACCGAAGTCACCAGCCCAAACAATAACACACACGATTGTCGTGACGTATTTCTGAAGTTGTTTATTTTTTTTAAATGACAGACCCGGGCATCAAAAACTTTATGATTTGCTAGAGTAGTTACCGAAATAGCAATTAATATTAGTTCTTTTACCTGTTATAACTTCGATATCCGATAAATCGGTATAAAATCATCACCGGCACCTCTAGGTGTGTTATGCGTCTATGGCTGCATGTATCGCGTGAGCGGTTAAAGGGGAAAAACATGACGCGTCGTCGCGACGCTTCGACTCTGCGCCAGTGTAAGTTGAGCCTAAGAGTGGCAAATCGATTTCAATAAAACTTGACAAATTTGAGATCGGTTTTTTTTATTAAAAAAGTTATCATTATGATTTAGTACACATTATTATTATTTCTACTTTCGCTATTACAACAAAATTGAACATCATCTATATCGATAGCATTTATCGAATGCAGTGATGCACGTCTTCGCGCTTAAACAAGAAGTCGTTACATCTACTCGTAAGTGGAACGGAGAGCGCAATATCGCTATCCCGCTCCGATAGCTTATGGCCGAGTGTGCAGCGAGTAAATAATCTTACTATGATTACTTTATTGCGTGTTGTACATTTCAGATATCGACGAGTGTTTGGAAGGCACTCATCTTTGCGATCAACACCAGAACTGTCTTAACACCAACGGTAGTCACGAATGTTTGTGCAAACTGGGATTTGAACTGGATGTTACTACCGGAGCTTGCATGGGTACTGTTATACGAGTTTTCAGTTATGAAGTCGTTGGTGTAAAAAAATAATTCTTGTGATAACCGGTGGCTGTGTATAGTCGATGCCCAACCTAACCTTCTAGCCGAATTTTCGGTTTTGAGAACCTCCTTACACATTTGTGGTTGAAATTTGTATTCTGTATTTAAATAATTATACGCCAACGATCAAATTGATTAAAAAAAGAATTATTTAGGTTTATATATTACCTTTCTTCAGACTTGTCTACCCAGAACCAAATAGTCCGTTAGGGGGTCAAGTGTCACATGGCATCGCCTTTACAATTTATCCAACAAAATCGATATTTTACTTTGAGCTTATTGAAATATTACTAGTAATTTGACACCATCGAGTATATAACCAGAAATAGAGACGAAATGTCATTTAATTTGTTTGAAAACTATTTTGCCATATCATTACTGTGACAACTGTGCTCCGATTAGCTAGCCCGAGTTCGAAACAATTGACGGGTGTCGTCAACTGTTTCACTTCAAATCGACCAGTTAACTTGAGCTTTGCTATAATGGACGAAAATTGCAAAATTATATATTTAATATTTAATTACCCATGAAATGTGATTCCGTTTGTTTTGTAATTAGATATTTTGCTGTTTTTCCTACACCACCGAATGGAACAGCACGGCATTGTTAGAGATATTATCTTTATTACAATAAATATAGAATATGTTTTGGAATATACGGAGACGTACACACAGGTCAGTAGTTGGCCTGTCTATATTTCAGTGCAATCGGGAGTTTATATTTATATGAGTTGTATCGCTAATGTGTTACCAGGAATGTATGGCCCTTATTTCGTCTCTATTTAAATAATAAAATAAATAAATAAAGTAAAATAAATAAATAAATAAAGTAAATAAATAATAAAAAAAAAAAATTCTGGTTATATACTCGATGTTTGACACTAATAATATCTCCATCAGTATTAGTTATACAATAGCTTAAAAGTTGCTACTTGATAAGTTTGTTTGTGACTAATTTCATAAGTTTCTCACAGGCACGCTTACGGCGATGAGGCCGTTTAAACTGAATACACAGATCTGTAAAAAACACATGAAGTAATTCGTTAGATCTGCAGAGTCGGTTTGTAGCTGAGATTTAGTTAATATCAGTGTCCCCGGCATATGAAATAAAATTACCTACATGGTTTTGCACTTGGACACAAAATACAAGACACTATCACTGTCTGCGTAATATATTATTGTGCTCATATTTCTTCCATTATTTCTTATTGAAGCTTTAAAGATATACTGAAATAAAAATAGTTAAATGTTTTTATAGGGAAAAATTCCTTAGACCTGCAGACTTGGTTTGTAGCAAACAGTTGGTTAAGAGCGATGGCCCTGGTATGGATAACACACACTGGTTAAAATCCAGGCAGACCGAAGGAATTTTTATTTAATTATTTATTGTACAAGAAAACACAAATTACATTTAGTAAAACGGAAAACACAAACAAACGGTACTGCTTATTTCTGTAAGAAATTTCTTCCTGCAGACCAAAATACATTTTCTTTATGTTCAATCATAATAGTCAATGATAATAAACTTACAAAAAATATATGAAAATCATGGTAGCAGAACAACATGATATCCAATAAATAGATATGAAAAGTGGTATAACAAAGATTGTTTATTTAGTACATGTCCTACAGCTAGACAAAGAACTCGTTTAAAGATAGGGTTTAGTACTGTAATAGCGCTGCTGGTGTTGGTGGTGTTCTGTAGACTTTAAAATAGCCTGGATAGCAGTAATATAGCTTGGTCCAAGGGTAGTAATAGCCTCCGCGGCCCCCGCGGCCTCCATACGTCTTACTTAGCAAGTTTTAGCAGTTGAAAAGACGAAAGTCCGGTTTTTAGGAATTTATTCAGTACAACAACAATGTTAACATCGTAAAATGTAAATGGTGTACGAGAGATTTAAGTAAGTGGTAAACGGTTCAAAAAGATAGGAGGACGATGTTTTCGCTACCGCGATCGCGCAGAGAGTGACGATGGAACGAAACAAATTCAGAATGCGAGGGAAAGAATGGAACAATTCAAAATTTTAAATTTAAATATGAGTAGAAGAAGAAAAAACGATACGATACGAATAGAGAGAGGCGATACAAAAAGGTGGGATGACGGTGTAAGGAGGTCACACTGTCCACCATGCTGGCTTAATGCGAGATGGGACCCTAAAAATTCTTCGAAATGTTTATGAACCTTCTTCGAAATGCAGTTTTTATCATGAAGCCTTTCTTTACCGTTAAAGCAGTTGCAACTGACTTCATTGACCACTGCTTTTTATTTCATATTACCTATATTCATATTACCTATATTATCTTGAAAGTTTTATAATAATAATAATAATAATAATAATAATTCAAAATTAGTCTTTTAGGCCTTGGGAGAGGCGAGAGTTTAAAATAAACATAATAATAATAATAATTTTATTTTTATTTTATTTTATTTATTCATTGGCACAACTACAGAATACAAACTTACATTATAAATACAAACTTATATTACTAAACGAAATAGAGATTAAATCTGCATTCCATTTACAGTTGTGCACAGCATTCTCATATTATTAAACACAACAAAAAATGTTTACAAATTACAAGAAAGTTTTGACTGAAGGATACTACAATTACCAAAATTATGACTTAACTTACATAGCAAAACATAATAACGAAAGTGAGGATCTAAAAATTATTATTATTATTATTTTTACTGTGTTGTCTTAAAATTGCAACTTGCGGGATAACTTTGGAAATATATGTAATAATAATAATAATAATAATAATAATAGTAATTTATTTATTTTTGGACAACGTAAATCCATATTTTAGTTAGTTACAGACTTATAAACTATGTTAGTAAATTATTTTAAACAAAGATCGCGTAAAAATTCAATGGGGTTTCTTATGAGAGGTCCCTCCTTTCTCAGCAATCGTTTTCAAGATGCCGTTGCTACTGTTACGAAGTCTGTTTAAAAGAGAAGCGATTTTCTTCCGTAGTATGGCAGAAAAAGAGTCTATCCGAGAAGTTTTAATTGTGAATTTGAGCGGGTTCCAAAAAAAGATATTGTTTGATTGAAATCGTGATGGCGCGTTTGAGAATTGGCGTACTCAAGAACTAATAATTAATGTTAATGCCAAGAAATATGTTTCTAGAGGAGTCAAAGCCGGCGGCATAAATGCGGCAATTGTTGACATCATTGCGGTCGGCTATGATGCGACAGGCGAACCGCGATATCGTGCTTTGTAGCACTTTAGTATCACCGGTCTTGTCGCCCGCCTTCCGCAAACATTGCAGACACACTACAGAACTTCGACAGCCGCAACAGCATCCTAAAAGCATTGTTGTATTGAGTGCGAAGAGCAATGTACGACTTTTGTGTATGTCGGTGCCACAGGCTACCCGCTTAAAAAGAAGAACAATAAACCTTGAAGAGAGTTATCTTATCTGCAGCAGAACAAACCTGTGAACCAACACATTAGCCCTTACTGACAAAGCTCTACGCTCCCTCTCTATGTCATCATCATCTCTGAGATCAGGCTTAATTAAATGTCCTAGATACTTAAATATCAACACTCTGTTAAAAGCTACCCCATTCAAAATCGGTGGTACAACAGTAGGACACTTACTTCCTGTCGCAAAAACCATGACCTCTGACTTCTTTACATTGTGTGACGCGGCATATGGCTCAGACAGCAACAAGTTTCCTAAGCGCGCTGTCGGACAGAGCCAACAGCACCATATCATCTACGTAACTTATGTTATTTACGCAGATATCATCTACGTAGCAGCCGACGCGTGTGCGACTGAGTTTTATAAATTGAAAAGCTTGGGCGAAGTCAACCCACCCTGTCTTAACCCGCAATCCAACCCATACTGCTCAGATAGTCTGTCATTCATCTCACAGTATTGACCTGGACTTTGTATCAAATTTTAAACAAGGACGTCACGTGGCAATCCGGTCGAACCGAGCTTCGCCCAAAGGATATCGTATCTGACCAGGACCCCGATTCAGAAGTCTTCGACATCTTAACCGAATCATTCGATTGGATATCGTTCTCGAATCGAAGGGCGCTTTCCGAGTTATTCAGAACATTCGAGTGAAACGTTTGATTCGGATACGATATTCAACAGCGTTTACGGAGTTAGTCGGTGAAATAGATTATAAGAAAAATCCTTTTAAATACATTTTTAAAACTTTGAAGGCCTAAAATATAGGAATGCATTAGTCTCGCTTTAAAATAAATTAATAAAATTGAACAAAATCCAAAGTATATTTAAAATAATGAAATATTTCCATATTACATTCTTGCTTTGTAAACAACAGGACATTCGATAACTTTCATTCGATAACTGTGTTCTGAATAAATTTTGTAGCCTTTGCCGGTCGAGAAGTTCGAATAATCGTATGGGTGTGACGTCATTTCGGTTCGGTTTCGAATACGACAGTTTGAAGTTCGATTTGGTTATTGTGAATAAGAATGAACAGAAATCGTACGATATCTAATTGCATCGGTCGACAACAGAGTTATCGTAAGATTCTGAATCGACCTCCAGATCGAAAGCTTTTGAGAGATCTAAAAACCAAGCATAAATCGGTGCCCGCCTCTCCGTATACTATATGCAATGGTGTGCTTCAAGCTCAAAATGGTAATAGATAATCTAAAGAACTTTAGCTTTCTTTTCTATGAACAATGCGACTTCTACAGTGGCGTCAAATAAACAAGTTAACGTTTATTAAGTTAATGTTTTCCAGATGTAAACGAATGTGCGTCCAACCAGCACAACTGTATTCCCGGTTCACAAAGGTGCGACAACACGGTTGGGTCTTTCCTATGCATCAGGTTAACTTCTTGCGGGACGGGGTATATACTTCACCACACTACTGGCACATGTGAAGGTAAACATTTTTTTTATTACAAAACGTAGTATATAAACGGCAAATAGATTATCCATCTGGTGTAAAGTGGTTTACCGCCGTCTAAATAGCGCTATATGCGAGTATCCTTAACATCGCAAATAGACAGCCGGCCGTAAGACACGAGGTCTTATATTAAATTACTCCCTCTATTCCTTAATGACGACGCGATACGTTGATATTCGCGATTCAAATTCATAGGTATTCGTTTCATCCAAAATTATTTCTTTTTTATATGACACCAATTGACGGGACGAACAAGTCGTGCGCCTGGTGGTAAGCGACATGCCTGTCCAGCAGTTGCAGTGCTCCTTAAAGCTTTAAATCGCGAAGGTTTAAAGGGCACTGCCACTGCGCCCGTCACCTTAAGATACAAGTTGACAAGTCCCATATGACTACAATTTCACCAGCACCCGTGCCCCTCAAAACTGGAGCTGAGAATATTGAGTTATAGACTCACTGACTCACTGAATAACGAACATAATCTCTTATTTCCAGATATCGACGAATGTGCCCACGGCACTCACAATTGCCACCACGCTGGTCCTAATTATCAATGCGAGAATCACCCAGGGTCCTTCCGTTGCGTACGCAAAAAACAATCAACCACTCTACCTCCAGATTATTACGAATATTATGAATCCGGGTAAATAACATTTCATTTTTTCACGAAATTTAAGTGCTAATCTTTAACTTCTACGATTGCAGAACTTTGACAGACATAAAAATAAAATTACCTATATGAATTTGCACTTGGACACAAAATACAAGACATTATCACTGTCTGCGTAATATATATAATGCTCATAATTATTTCTTCCATTATTTCTCATTAAAGCTTCAAAGATTTTATACTGAAATAAAAATGGTCAACTGTTTTTCATAGGGAAGAAATGGATGCCAACCAGACAGACCCCAAAGACCCGGTCCTAGAAAATAAAACACCATCAACGACAACAACAACCTCTACAACCCCAGCTTCCGCAGGTTGGAATGATTTTGACCTGGAAAAACCAGTTCCACCTGTTATATCTGATGAAAATGACATAGAGGGCGAAAAAACAGTTTTTTCTGAATTTAAACCGAATCGAGAAGATGACCTACTAACTAAGACAAATGTACAACTCGAAACCTTTAAACCAATCGAACCAGAAGTGTCTAAACAACCAGAAATTAAACCAGTAACACCAAGACACCCTGAAGAGGTTAGGCCTGTTCAACCAATTCAACCAGAAACACCGAGACAACCGGAAAACGTCGAACCAATAGACCCAGAATTATCAAAACATTCTCAAGATGTTAAACCAATTATCAGACCAAGCCAGCCTGAACAACCAAAGTATGATGAACCACAACAACCAGAAGTAAGACCAATTGAGCCAAAACCAACGGATCATCATGTTATATTACAACCAGAAATCCACAACTCTGAAAAGTCTGAACCTTCGCCGACTCCGCCTCAAGTAGTTCTCATAGATGTTGGTAAAGAAACAGCTACAATTGATGGGAAGAAAATGGATGACGGATCAGTTTTTGTTGATACTCGTGATGTGCCTAAAAATGAATGGACGAAGTTAAATAGGAAACCTAGCGTCAGTTGTCCACCTGGGTTTGAAGCCGATGCTAATGGCGTTTGTCTTGGTATGTGATTTTGTTAGTTCGTTTGATTATAAACTAAAACCTTTAAAAGAACAGGGACTTTGACTTGCATAAAAGTCAAAACTGATTAATTAAATGTTGACAACTAGAATGTTTACCTATAAAAATTTTGCTTGTTCATAATACTTTTTATTTGCATTATATGTAGTTTTCTTTCTGTACAGATGTTGATGAATGTGCAACACATCGTCACATCTGCTCAGGACTCACAGAATTCTGCCGCAACACCATAGGAGGTTACCTGTGCGATTGTGCCCCTGGCTTCCGCAGGGAGCTCAGCTCGGGCCTATGCGATCATATTGTTACTACGCCTAGCAGTACCTCGACTGCGCCTACTACTCCTGCTGCGGAGAGAAGTATTCATAATTACTGTTATCCACGATTTACTCAGCATTTCATTTGAATTTTGAAGTCTATCTCTATGTCCAATTGGACCAGCAGCCTTTGGTTCGTGTATTCCTTACAAAACAACAGATTCTTGAATCCCATCATGTACATGTAACATGATGGGCCTATCTCCACAACTGTCTCCTCAAAGAACCGATCCCTTTTGGTCCGAGATATATTATAGAATTGAAGCGGTCCAAAGGCGTTTTCTCCGACACTTAAGTTCCAAGTTCGGTATGAGACGTAGGTTGCCCACATATGAGGATAGGTTGAAGCAATTTAGTCTCTGTACGCTGCAGTCACGGCGCGTAGTTAATGATCTTGCCGCCATGTATAAAATTGTCAATGCAAAATGGGACGCATGCGAATTGTTGAGCCACTTCTCTTTGAGGGTTGGAAGTAAACGTACACAGACACTATTTCATGTACCATGTTGTAGTAATAATGTTACCTACAATGACCCTCTCTTCCGTATGTGTCGAGTTTATAATGAAATGAACAAGGACAAGAGTTTGGACATATATTTCCAAATTTATCCCGCATTTTTAAAAAGTTGCAATTTTAAGACAACACAGTAAAAATAATAATAATAATAATAATATTTAGATCCTCACTTTCGTTATTATGTTTTGCTATGTAAGTTTAGTCATAATTTTGGTAATTGCAGTATCCTTCAGTCAAAATTTTCTTGTAATTTGTAAACATTTTTTGTTGTGTTTAATAATATGAGAATGCTGTGCGCAACTGTAAATGGAATGCAGATTTAATCTCTATTTCGTTTAGTAATATAAGTTTGAATTTATAATGTAAATTTGTATTCTGTAGTTGTGCCAATAAATAAATAAATAAATGAGAAAAATTATAAGAATAAAAAAGAAATTAACACTCTTAAATAAATTTCAATTTCGGAACTAAAAAATTACCTAACCTGACCCTCAAATAATTTTCAGACACAACTTTATTCTGGGGCTATCACGAATACAGACCAGTTGGCACTGCAAGACCTTTCAAACCACGATTCATGTGCGATGTTGGTTATTTTTACAATTCTCACACTAGGGCTTGTGATGGTAAGTTTCTGATATTTTTTTCTTAAAAAACGTTCTGTGGATTGTCGCTTTTATTTCCTGGAAAAGTACTGTGAGATTAAAGTTTTTGGCCTTCCATGCCATTAGGATCTATCTGTAATTTGCACCTATAACAAACAAGAGCCTACGGTTGACCGATAAAACGCTCCTGAGGTTTTTAAAGAGAAGTATGTATTGATCGTTCTTATTCAGTAAAATTGTAATTTTACGTTTTAGACAATAAGACACAGGCTATAATAATGTACATTAAAAATTTTCAGATATCAACGAATGTACAAACGGGCAAGCGAACTGCGCGGACGTAGAAATCTGCGTAAATACAAATGGAGGGTACCGGTGTGAATGCCCTCCGAACTGGAGACTGGATGAAGTGAGGCACAAATGCTTACCGAATAGGAATCACGGACAATTCCCATCCGGATACGCTAATGAACCTGGTGAGAGACGATGAAGTTTAATCTCTTTCTTTTTATTTAACAGCTAGGTTCTTGTCGATGGAGTAATCTCCATTTTTGTTCAGCGCTTTAACTTTGATTTCCTGATAAGACACGTCAATTACTTTTCCCTTATCTAATCTAAATAACTATGTCTCGGTCTTCTTCTGCCTCTCTTCCCTTTGATTCCCTTTTGTTTGTAATGTAATGTAGTAATGCGTCTAAGAATACTCGTGACGTATCGGATACAGAAACGTCTTCCCTTCCAATTCTCTATTGTCTTTAAACAACTGTCTCTTTTCCTGCACTATTGTCAACACCTCTCATTGATCTTTCTTTCAATCCGATTAATTTACCCCATTATTCACCAGTTTTTAATCCATCCTCGAAATAATAACAAATAAGT